TTGTTGTATGTTCCCGAAAATACTTTGATGTGCTGTTTCTTTTCGGACAGCAGCATAGGCGGCTTCAGCAGACAGCAAGGGGTCCCACCGGAGGATCTCTCTTTTAAGGGAATCATACTTTTGATCAAGGGCATTGAGAAATTGAAACAATTTGTTTTCTGACCTGACTTTGTTGTAAGTGGCAATGTCGGTAGAACACGTCATCGGGTTTGGATCTCGCCGTTCAATTTCTCCCCAGATACCCTACATCACGATCCAAAATTCTTCTAACGGTATGCCATTTTGCTTGAACTCGTTTGCTTTGACGTGGAGATCGAAAGTCTGAAGTTTGTCATTGCCGCTGCTATACGTAACCGTAAGAGCATCCTATAGCGTTTTCGCTGTCGGGAACTCTGTTAAGTTACTAGCAAGGACCGGCTCGATATTTTGGATGAGCCATGAAAAAACGATTAAATCATCTTGTTCCCACTGATCATCACTGGATTCTGGCGGGTTTTGGGTGAGATGGTTTAAAAGAGTTTTTGATTTCCCCCCTATGGCGACTCGTATCATCCGAGCCCATAGAGGGTAGTTTTGGCTAGTAAGATTGAGGCTAATTTTTAGGCTATCAGAGGGATTTGGTTTTGGGTTCTGGGTTTGAATTTGAACTCCATTTTTAAGGAGATTGACTATTTGGATGGCTAGGTTATTGTTATCTTCTTCTGACATTGCTTCTGGTTCTGGTAGATGATGAGCACAAATGGTTTTTGGATCATAAACACCGCTTTGATACCATGTTAACCATGATGATCAGAGGAATGGAAGAGAAAGTAGAATAACTTTTATATTTCTTATATGTATGAACAAGCCCACGTACTGAATATATAGTCTATACAAAAAACTAAATAAGGAAAATACAATAAATTGCATTGAAAAGAATGGCTGGCAATTAGCTAGGACTAGAAGTAAGGCTTGAAAGATGTTGGTCTTGATTTCAAAGGTCAATGGTCTATTTTGGGAGATGATAGAGTATTTTAATCAAATATTTCAACAAAGACAAAATTAACAAATATTTAAATTTGCATAATAAACCTTTCTGAAAAAAGGAAAGTAATATTTTTTTAAACAAACCAAGATGCATAGCGATGAACTTTTTGAAGAAAGGGAGTATAACCTAAAAAACCTAATAGATAAATACCCAAATATTCAAAAAAATGAAGCAATCAAAATTTTAACCGACGGTATAAGATAAGATTTAATCTTCAACAAAACATTTTACCAATTATGAAATTAGTCCATTAAGCTTAATTCAAGTATTGCATATTAGACCTCTGTCTCGAGGTCATGGATACTTTCAGAAGTTAATTTAAAGTGCTAACAACAACAAAGACCCCAGGATTGACTTCAACTGATTGAGCTACCTTTAAGATTACCATAATGAGATTATGGTGTAATCCCAACTGCTAGGGCGCCTTCTCTTACGTCTCCATCAGGAAATCTAATATTCTTGCTAGTTCGAGTTCTGACTCATGATATATCTATAAGCTACGTACTTCCATGAGACACGTTTCTCGAAAAAACTTCTAAACCAACAACAACAAAGCTAGGAAAGACTTCCGACTTTGATAATTAAGGTACTTACTTGACTTACTTTTACATTATTATTTTAGTTTTAATTTTCTAGTAAGATAATATTCTATATCAGAACAAAGAGAATACACTAAGATAATATTTTTTGTTAGATAGGGAGAATACCGTAAGAAATGACCCTTTTCTCAAACTAAGAGAAATTAATTATGAGGAAATACATTAAATGAGTAAAAATTATATACAAAAGCTCAAATATAAGTTTAGTTGTTCAAGGACCCTATGGGTAAAAAAATTAGAGGCCGTTTTGGAACAAAAAAAAAATTGACATAACCGGTGGCTCTACCTGGTTATACGAATGTAACAGAATAAAAAACAAATTAGGGAATCACTTGTACCAAAAAAAATAATAATAATCACCAATATGTGAAAATAAGAATATTTGGTTGGGATTTAAACTTTTTTCTAAATTATAATGTTACTCTATT